CACCCTGCAGAGGAGGACACACATGTGCGGCTCAGCCAGCAGAGGCCAGGACACACATGTGTGGCTCACCCTGCAGAGGAAGACACACATGTCCGGCTCACCCTGCAGAGGAGGACACATGTGCGGCTCACCAAGCCTGGTAAGGAACATCAGGCCTGGTGCTTCTGAGGTGGGGACAGCCCCAATGAGCAGGGTGAGCAGCCTTACGGAAGAACAGGCTGGGCACCTGCAGAGGCCAGGACACACATGTGCGGCTCACCCAGCAGAGGAGGACACACGTGTGCGGCTCACCCTGCAGAGGAGGACACACATGTGCGGCTCACCATGCAGAGGCAGGACACACATGTGCGGCTTACCCTGCACAGGAGGACACACACGTGCGGCTCACCCTGCAGAGGAGGACACACACGTGCGGCTCATCCCGAGGCAGACAGGCAGTGGGTGGGAAGCTGGCCTCGCCCTACTTGGCAGCAGGCTCTGCAGCTTGGCACCCAGGGCTCAGGACGCAGAAAGCACCTGGCAGACAGCCAGGCACCCGGGGACCATGTGAACCCTGACATGACTCGGGCAGCGTGGGCCAGCCAGGTGATCCACGCTGAGTAAGCAACAGGTAAAAGTACGTGCTAGGCAGGCAATGCCAGCATTTAATATGCTCCAGATAAAACTCCACAAGAACTTCATCGATTTCAGAGAAGGGAGAAGGAGAGAGACAGAAACATCAATGATGAGAATCACTGATCGGCTGCCTCCTGCGCGCACCCTACTGGGGACTGAGCCCGCAACCCGGGCATGTGCCCTGACCAGGAAGCGAACCGTGACCTCCTGGTTCACAGGTCAACGCTCAACCCTTGGGCCATGCTGGCCGGGCTCAACAAGAACGCTTTTCTTTGGCCTGGAAACCTGGTCACGATAGAGACCACCAGCTCTCTACCTTAGAAGCGACAGGGACTCGCCTCCCAGTTTCACCTACTTTTCATAAAAAGCAAGAATACAAGTATTTCCCACCATCAAGTTGTTGTGAGGATCAAAGGAGATGAGTAACATCCAGCACCCCGCACGGTGCCCGACGCCTGGTTGTAAGCTCTGCGCCCCGCCCCCCCGTCCCTCCCCACAGACAACTTGCTGATGGTGGTCCTGAGGACTGATCTGGCTTCTTACATGACAGGGCACAGCCACCCCTAAGCCCACCTTTCCCAAATAAGTGGCCGTCTTCGTGACTGAATAGCATCAAAGAAAACATCCTGAAGTTATATATCTAGGGCTTTGTTTGTGCTTTCACTGGACAACTCTGTGTTTGACAAGGCACTGCGCTAGATGCTTTAGGACAGTGATTCTCAACCTTCCTAATGCCGCGACCCTTTAATATAGTTCCTCATGGTGTGGTGACCCCCAACCATAAAATTATTTTGTTGCTACTTCATAACTGTAATGTTGCTACTGCTATGAATCGTCATGTAAATATCTGCTATGCAGGATGTATTTTCATTGTTACAAACTGAACATAATTAAAGCATAATGATTAATCACAAAAACAATATATAATTATATATGTGTTTTCCGATGGTCTTAGGCAACCCTTGTGAAAGGTCGTTCGACCCCCAAAGGGGTTGCAACCCACAGGTTGAGAACCGCTGCTTTAGGAGAAGATAAAAGGTACATCAGACCTCAAGCTAGTCTCCATGGGGGTCTAGGGACTGGGAAGATGAGATGTGAGCGAGGGCAAGGATGACACAGCAGGGCCGGGGCAGCTCCGAGGACGCAAAACCTGACCGGGACCTTGATGGCTGAGGAAGGCTGAGACCACGTGCAAGTCAGGGAGAGGCCTCGGGCCGAGGAGCCCAAGAGAAGACCCCGATGTGGGGAAGCACGGGGCTGTCTCTCTCAGAGCCGCGCTCAGGCCTGGCCGGGAGCACGGTTGTTGGAGCGTCGCCCCGACGTGTTGAGGTTGTGTGTGGGATCCCCAGCCAGGGCACAGACAAGATCAACCAAAGAATGTGCACATGGGTGGAACAGCACACTGATGTTTCTCTGTCTCAAATCAATAAATTAAAGAAAAAAGTTCCACATCAGACCCTCAGCCACCTACGCCTCGCTTACGCTTCTGAATGCGATGACGCCCTCTGGGGTTCCCAGTTTTATCATTCTGAGAAGCCACAGAACAAAACAAAAACCAGCCAAGACCAAGAGCAGGGAAGCACCAGGCAGGAATGTAACCGGGCTTTGCGGTGAACACGGCCTGTGTTAATCTGCAGAACTTCCGGATCCGCATTCTCCCGCGTCTACTCTCCCAGCGTCAGACCCGTCCCCACGGCGGAACCACTTCCCAGCCGACGACGCCCGAGGGCCTTGGGATTCAGGCCTGAGAAAGTTGCTGCCCAGACCCACTCCCCACGCCCAGACCCGCTCCCCACGCGTGGCCTGGAACAAGCTACGGCTCTCCACAGCCTGTCCTGTCGGTGGTCCCTCCCGGGGAGCGCAGGGGTGAACAGCTGTGGGCGGGACGCCCCATTTCTCCCAAGAGAATCCTACTAGGAAGTCTAAGAGGCACGGCCCCCAAAAGATAAGAGTTTATTTCCAGGCGGTCTCTGAAAGGTAAGACCGACTGGAGCGAAAGCCAGGCTGCACCTCCCTCTCATCAGCCCCGTGTGGCAGGAGGGCGACGCTTTGACGAGGAAAGAAGGGGGCAGGCTGGGTGGGGCGGGGTTAACAGGCTGCCTGCCCCGTGTCCCCCACAAGCAGGACAGAACCTCGACACCTGACCCTGGTCACCAGGAAGCCTGTGTTTATCTCCTCGGACACATTGCAG